AAATGAGCAGAACAAAATTGCTCCAAGTCACAAGAGCTGTGGAGAGAGAGGTGAAAGGGGGAAACGGGTCAGGCTTTCATCGTGGGTCTAGAGCTGGTTATAACCCATCTCATAATGGGTCATCAGGAAGGAAAGCTGCATCTGATTGGGTCATGATAAGGGGGAGAGATGTTGGGCCACATGGGGGTGTCAAGAGTGGAGTAAGTGGGCTCAAAGGAGACAAACAGGCCCAAAATGAAAAGAAACACACTGGGCCTCGTGATAGGGGTTTCAAACATTTGTCTTACAATGAATTGATGGAAAGGAAGCAAAAGGGCTTATGTTTTAAGTGTGGAGGCCCATTCCATCCTATGCACCAGTGCCCAGAAAAACAACTAAGAGTTTTGGTTGTGGAAGAGGGTGGAGATGATGTGGATGAGACCAAATTCTTGGCTATAGAGGTGGATGAAAGTGATGAAGAGGAGAAGGGGGAGATGAGTGTACTTAACTTGCATCACATTGCACATAAGACTCATCATACTATGAAATTCCAAGGAACAATACAAGGAGTAGAGGTATTGATTTTGGTGGATAGTGGAGCAACACATAATTTCATTTCTCAAAAATTAGTGCATCAAATGGACTGGCCAATTGACACTACCCCTCAAATGACGGTCAAATTGGGGAATGGGTTACAAATAGCAACACAGGGGGTGTGTAAGGGAATGGAAGTGTGTATTGATGAATTCAAATTAGACCCAGAAATGCATTTATTTGAATTAGGAGGAATTGATGTGGTTTTAGGCATTGAGTGGCTTAAAACATTGGGGGATACTATTATTAATTGGAATAAACAAACTATGAGTTTTTGGAGTGAGAAGAAATGGGTGACTCTTAAAGGACAGGAGGGGTGCAGGAAGCCTACAGTGGCTTTGCAAACTGTTCTCAGCAAGCCCAGGCCCAATATGCAAGATTTATTGTGGATAGTAGAGAAAACAAAACCCAAAGAGGCTGAAAAAGGTCCGTTGCCTGTCCAACAACAAAGGGAGTTAGAAGCATTATTACACAAATATGATCAAGTGTTCCAAACCGTGCTAGGCCTTCCGCCGACAAGGAACAAGGAGCATGCGATCAACCTTGTGGAAGGACAAGGAGCCGTAAACGTGAGGCCGTATCGTTATCCCCACCATCACAAGAATGAAATTGAGAAGCAGGTGAAGGAGATGTTGGACACGGGGATCATTCGCCACAGTACGAGTTCGTTCTCAAGTCCGGTGATTTTGGTGAAGAAGAAGGACTGCACATGGCGAATGTGCATTGATTATCGCGCTCTAAATAAGATCACGGTACCTGACAAATTTCCTATACCGGTGATCGAAGAGTTATTGGATGAGTTGCATGGAGCTACGTTCTTTTCGAAGTTAGATTTGAAATCGGGGTACCACCAAGTGAGGGTGAAGGAATCTGATGTGTACAAAACAGCTTTCAGAACACATGAAGGGCATTATGAGTTCCTTGTGATGCCGTTCGGACTCATGAATGCGCCGTCAACGTTCCAAAGCCTAATGAATGATGTGTTTCGCCCTCTGTTAAGGAAGCATGTGTTGGTCTTCTTTGATGACATACTTATCTATAGCAAGAGCTGGGAGACTCATTTGAAACATTTAGAAGAAGTGTTGAGTTTGTTAGCTAATCACAGCCTAGTGGCTAACAAGAAAAAGTGTTTTTTTGCCCAACAAAGTGTGGAGTATTTGGGGCACATGATTACTGAGCACGGTGTAGCCGTAGATCCTGGAAAAGTGGCAAGTGTGACTCAATGGCCACAACCTAAGAATGTAAAAGGGGTGAGAGGATTCTTAGGACTTACAGGTTATTACAGGAAGTTTATAAAGGATTATGGGAAAATTGCTAGACCATTAACTGAGCTGACCAAGAAGGACAGTTTCAAATGGGGAGTGGAAGCTCAGCAAGCCTTTGATGAGTTGAAGTGGAGGCTTACATCAGCACCTGTGCTAGCTTTACCAGATTTTTCAAAGAGTTTTATGATTGAGTGTGACGCTTCAGGAGGAGGAATAGGGGCGATATTGATTCAAGATAAGAAACCAGTAGCATACTACAGCAAGGCCCTTGGGGTGAAGAATTTAGCAAAATCGGCCTATGAAAAAGAATTGATGGCAGTAGTTTTAGCAATCCAGCATTGGAGACCATACTTGCTGGGGAGAAAATTTGTAGTATCAACTGATCAAAAAAGCCTCAAACAACTACTGCAACAGAGAATTGTAACTGCAGAGCAGCAGAACTGGACTGCTAAATTATTGGGTTATGATTTTGAGATTGTGTACAAACAGGGTAAATTGAACAAGGGAGCCGATGCTTTGTCCAGAATTCATGAGGGAGGGGAGTTAGCTACCATGAATTACCAATGGAGATGGCTGCATATGGAACAGGTTAAAACAGAAAACCAACAGGATGAAAGGTTGCAGAAAATAATAGAAGAGGTTCAACAAAATGCAGAAACATGGCCTGGGTATGAGTACAAGCAAGGTGTCTTAATGTATGAAGGTAGGTTGGTGATTTCCAACAATTCTTTGCTAATTCCTACATTGTTAGAGGAATTCCACTCAACACCCCAAGGAGGACATTCGGGGTTCTACAAAACTTATAGAAGAATTGCGGCTAATGTGTATTGGATAGGCATGAAAGGAACCGTACAAGACTTTGTAAGAAAATGCGACATTTGCCAAAGACAGAAGTACATGGCTTCATCTCCAGGAGGCTTGTTACAACCTCTACCCATTCCTCATCAGATATGGGATGATTTATCGATTGACTTCATCACCGGGTTGCCAAAGTCAAAAGGTTTCGAAGCTATTTTAGTGGTGGTGGACAGACTGTCAAAGTACTCTCATTTTATCCCTCTGCGACATCCATATACAGCTAGGAGTATTGCTGAAGTATTTTGTAAGGAGATAGTCAAACTCCATGGCATTCCTCTGTCCATAGTAAGCGATAGGGATCCCATTTTTATGAGTAGTTTTTGGAGGGAGATGTTCAAACTGCAGGGAACTAAGCTGAAAATGAGTACCGCATATCATCCCGAATCGGATGGGCAGACAGAGGTGGTTAATAGGTGTTTGGAAACCTATTTGAGGTGTTTCATTGCAGATCAACCTAGGACATGGGTATCGTGGATACACTGGGCTGAATATTGGTTCAATACAACTTTTCACGCTGCCACCGAGAAGACACCATTTGAGGTAGTTTATGGAAGGCCACCTCCAAAACTAATTCAATGGAGTCAAGGAGAGACTAGAGTTGAAGCTGTGCAGAGAGAATTATTGGACAGAGATGAGGCTTTGAGACAATTAAGGAACCAATTATTGAGAGCACAAGAGAGGATGAAGAGTCAAGCTGATAAGAAACGCACGGACAGGAGTTTTGTATGTGGAGAATGGGTGTTTGTCAAGCTTAAGGCTCATAGACAGCAATCAGTAGTAACCAGAATTTGTGCGAAATTAGCAGCAAGATACTACGGTCCTTATCCCATTATTGAGAAGATAGGAGCAGTGGCATACAGACTGAAGCTGCCCGAAGGGTCCAGAGTGCATCCTGTTTTTCATGTTTCATTATTGAAGAAGGCTGTGGGGAGTTATCACGAAGAGGATGAGTTACCCGAGCTATTGGAGGAACATATTGAAGTGTATGAACCAGAGGCGGTACTAGCCACTAGGAAGGTAAAAAAACAAGATGAAGAAATAAGGCAAATCCTCGTACACTGGAAAGGCAAGACAGCAGAAGAAGCAACTTGGGAAGATGAGATAATGATCAGAAGCCAATTTCCAAAGTTTGGCCTTGAGGACAAGGCCATTGCGGAAGGAGAGGGTATTGATAGGACTCAGTTAGTTGAGAAAGAATTGCCACGTGAGCGGCTGATTTACAGGGAATCAAGTGGACCCCAAGAGTGGAAAGTGTATTCTAGAAGGAAGGGTAAGAAGGGAATTGGTGGCTAGTTAGTTATAATATTGTGACGTGGCTTGAGTGAGGAGAGCACTTTGCAATCCATTTCCACGATATAAGGGATCAGAGGGAGAATGTAGATCTTACCTTGGATTATAGTGATTTACTAGCATGAATAGGGAGCTATAGCTTCCTATTAGGAGCCTAGCTCTTGTCAGATCTAGGGTTACATTCCCTTTTCTGTAACTGTTTCCCATTCATATTCACTATAATAAAGCTCTCTTTTCCTCTGTTTTCTGCTTGTACTGTTATATTACTACAATTCTGTGTTTTAGTACGTATCAGCTACTGTAGTTGTTACTAATAAATTCATAGTTTTTTTTTTAAAAAAGAAAAATACATTGAAACATCTTTTATTAGTCTTTTTCAATTGGAACAAAAACAAGAGGTAAGAAAATTCCAAGTTGGGTCCAAATAAATTCTTCGAAGTTAAAGTCATCAATTTTATCAAACTATTTTCGGTCTTTTTTATTTATTTCTGGAAATGCAATTGAGTTAAACACAACTTGATAGCCACAAAATAATACTTAATATGTAAGCATTTATTTCTATATGATGGAAGGAAAAAAGAGAAATTGTTACAAATTACAATAGAAAGAATAGCTCAATTCAGAACATTCTCCCCATAAGTATTATTAATGGATTAACCAAACATGCATCTAAGCATGTTTACTTCATCACTACATTATCCTCTAAGCATCCAAAATGTACCAAAAGATGACATAAATAAAGAAAGGGCTGAGTCCTGCTCTAGCAGGATTTGTATACAGCCTCTCATCAAACTTTACAAATTAAAAATGACTGGTTATTAGTCATTCATGCCACAAAAATGGCAATTCTAGAGCAGCATTTTGTTGGAATCTAAAAAGCCTTCTACACAACGGCTTCAAATTAAAATTATATAAAAAAAAACACATTCTTTGTTTTTTTTTCTTCTTCTTCTTCTTCCATATTAAACGCAGGGACAAAAAAGATAGACACACGAAGAAAATGTTCCACACTGTTTAATGAAAGCCTCCTCCAGTAGCTGATACAGACTTGGCCATATCTGGTGGTGGAGATGGCAGTAAGATTATGGATAGTATGCCACTCGCCAGAGCCGCCACCGCACCCACCACAAACGCCGGCAAGTTACCGCCTCCAAATAGAGCATCCCATGGTCCACTCAAAACAGAGACAAACATCTACACATACACATTTGGTCAATAATTTAATTCATATGCTAAATGAATCATTTGATTTTTTAATATGTTAATATATATATATAAATATAAAGCAAAGTACCTGTGGTATGACAATTGCAAGATTAAGAACTCCTAGTGATAACCCTGAAATAAAAATTAAACAAAAAACAAAAGGTTAAGCACTTTTGATTAGTAAAATTGTTTAGCTAAGTGGATTATGATTTATGATGATTTTTCTTATACCTTGGCCTGCCCCTGAGGTGCTGGAGAATATAGATGCTAAAGCAAAGGGTATACTGTAAGTAATCTGAAAAAATAATCACACAAGATTAGTATAGTTTTATTATTATAAAAAATTAAACTAGAATATGATATATATAAAACTAATACATCATCATCTCATCTGCATCTTTATTCCAAAATTAATCTAATAAATCATGCTTGGTTTGTTTTTTACTATATATTATTATAATTAAATTGACCGTTCATAATCAAAAGGAATCACTAAAACACTTAAAAAATGTTATTTTTTTCAATAGAAATTCAGAACAAGTTGTTAATTGTCTTTTCCAATTCAAACAAAAGCAACAGACTAGCAAAATCTTATTTCAAACTAAAGTCCAAACTAAATTTGTCTAAAGCAAAACTTAAATTCTCAAGTAAAATTAATGGCCCTGTTTGTAATTTACTGAATGGGACCCAACTCACAGCAATATCACCCAAAAAAAAAAAAGTTAATGAAAATCTTTGGAGATCGTAACATTCACATGTCTTCTTTCATGCATGGCAAGCTCCAATTCCTTCTATTAAAAGTTGGTCAAACTATTTTAACTTTCCTCTCGTCAAAGTAATTAATGCATTATTTATAGAAACATATATTTTAAATTTTAAATTTATTTATAAAAATATTTTCTTTCAAATAGTAAAGCAGCTGAAATTAATATGATGCAAATTCAAATTATGTAATGCATCTGATGTCGTGTGCAATTATCAACTAAACTGAGTTTAGTTTAAAGACGAAAAATAAATAATTCATAATAATGAAAAAAAGTAGCAATTATCATCTGAACTGAGTTGGTTTAAGGACGAAAAATAAATAATTCATAATAATGAAAATAATAGGGGAAAGTTTACCGCGAGTGGGACTCCGAGAACGGAGAAGAGAGTTAACGCGCCGGCCTTGATACCTTCGGAAGGTGGAAGAGGGTCTCCGAGAGCACCGGTACCGGGGGCGTATTGTCGCGAATGTTGGGCTAATTTAGTAACCAAAACGGTTAAACCCAAACAAATTGCGAGCAAGAAGTTAACGATTCCCCACAACCTCTTGACGCCCCCAACTCCACGCGCCAAGATATCAACACCCAGTGACGTGGCACCCAAAACGACTGAGTTTAACATGAGTCCTAAAGCACCCTCGCGCACACCCATATCATACGCATGACCTTCCCCAACCGTTCCTCCATAAACCTCTTTCCCCATCCAATCAGTATCAAACAAGAGGAAAGGAAACCACGCAATCCAGTTGAGACACGTCACCAATAATAAGATCCACATGGGTCTCTTTAGTTCCTTGAAAGCACCAGATAACTGCCCAAAACAAGGCATGCCACCGCTTGAACCACCGTCTTCAGTGGTCACAACGGTTTTCTCCGGGGTGAGTGCAGTTTCCTTCACGTAGATCAGTGCGGAAGTGGCTAAAACTGTTAAAAGCGCGATTGAGAGGAAGAAACAGCTTTTTAGATTTGCGCAGTAAACATTGCATGCTTTCGTTTTGGTGAACGGAAACACATGGTAGAGTTTACTGTACGCACCGGCGGCGTAGCCGAGGACGTTACCAACCGCCATGAAGAAGGAGAAAAACGCGTTAGCGTTTCTCGTTTTGCGTTGGTTACCGGCGCAGAGGTCACCGAGAAGTGCACGGCAGGGTCCCTGAAGCATATTGTTAGCGACGTCGAGAATCCAGAATCCAACGACGAAGATTCCAATTGCTCGGGGACGGACTTTTTGGTCGAGGCTGTCTCCGAAGGAATGGCCAAGATCAGCGGCGTAGCCGATTAGGAAGACGGCGATAGCGACTGCGATTGAGCCTGCAGCAATAAACGGACGACGACGACCAAAGCGGGAAGTGCAACGGTCGCTGTGGTAACCGACTATAGGCTGGACAAGCATACCGGAAATTGGGCCGCAGAGCCAAATGTAAGCGGCCCAGGTGTGATGGATACCGAGGAGCTGGACGTAGGGAGTTAAAAGAGATAGTTGTAGGGCCCAGCCGAATTGAACACCGGCTGCGATGGATGCAACCACCATGATTTTACGGAGGGGACTTGGTTCAAGAGGTTGTGTTTCGACATGGAGAGAAGAAGGCTTGGCGAGATTGTTATTATTATTAATTTGTTTGGTGGAAGAGAGAGGCTCCATGGTGATAACAATGAGTGTGTGTTTTGTGAGAATGTGTTGGTGATGGGATGTATTTATAAGGGAGGGTGAGAGTTGTTGTTGCATGTAATGGAAGAATCTGTGAGTGATGTGAGTTTGAAAAAGTGAGAAAGAGAATTGTGTGGATAATTATGGATGAGGTAAATGTTTGGGTTCTAGTAAGATGCGTGTGCCGGGGTTTATCTCTTTGGGTAAAGTAAATTCGCCAAATGGGTACTCATGTGGGAAAACTTTAATTCATCAATTTTTCCTTCTTTGAAACTGCAATTTCAAGGCTACTTTTTTATTTCTTCAAATTTATTTACTACCTCTATTATTCTTTAAAACCCTAATTTAGGGAAATTCTTGCACTTGGATATCATGCAAGGAAATGGTTTAGGATAAGGGTAGAAACTCGAGACTACTAATTTGGAAGAGTAACTGCTAGGCTATTGGGAACAAGATAGATAAGGATAGTGTTCTAGTAATGCATTGTCATGTAGTAATTCAATAAGGGGCTTTATGAATTGGTGAATTCAAGAGTGAATATAAATTTTCAAACACTGGACTTTAATGATATTAGGTGTGAAGATAAGTCAATCAATGCTCCTTATCCGTGTTTAATTCTAAGAAATGATTAAAAAATTAATCTTACAAATTTGCACTCCAACAATTTTAAAATACAAATTTTATATTAAAAATAATATCTTTTAAAAAAAATTTAAATTAAATGCATATTATTTAGGATGGAAATTTAATTATAAGATATTATTTATATATTTATACAATTTTTAAAATAAAATAAAATGTTACTGTATTTTTTTATTGAATAAAATGTTATCTTTAGTACTCAGTGTTTTTATTTAATATTGAAGAGTTTCTTATTTTTATTATTTCATTTTAATTTCTCTGAGTATTTTTAGAATGTATGTGTATATCAAAAGATTTTAGGTTATGGCTCTTCTTTTACGTATAAAATTTTTAGGTGAATTAACTTCGAAAATTCACTAAAATTAAGATAGATTTTAAAGTTTAAAGAGTATTTATAAACATTTTTACAAATCATTCACTAAAGAAATCTTTAAATTAATAACATAAATTAAATCTATGATTTCTTAGTATGTGAATCAATTATTTATCAATTAAGTCGATCTTTCTTGATTTTACACATGTCCTTCATTTTTTTCATACATGTATTTTTTCAATACCTTTGATATGTTTTCATTGGGAATAAGTGGCATGTATCAAAGAAAAGAAAGACGAGTAGACAATGCAAATGTAAATCCAACACCAAACACATTCATTTAAGCTTGATAGTTGTTCAATTTGAGCTTAATGATTTAGCTCAAAATATATCAAATAGCCAATGACAATCCATATCCCTCCCAGCACGAGTCCCGTAAGGAATAGATGTTTAAAAGACTTCTGCTACTCAAGAATGTTTTGAGGAATCTATAGTATTCCATTATCTATTTCAACATTCATTTAAGCTTGATAGTTGTTCAATTTGAGCTTAATGATTTAGCTCAAAATATATCAAATAGTCAATGACAATCCATATCCCTCCCAGCACGAATTCTGTAAGAAATAGATGTTTAAAAGACTTCTGCTACTCAAGAATGCTTTGAGGAATCTATAGTATTCCATTATCTATTTCAATAAAAGTATAAATATTGTGGTTGGTATTAGGGGATCTACACTTCAATTTCATATACTCTTTCAGTGTCTAGAAGAAAAGAGATTTTGCAAAAAGGAAAGTGTTCTGGACTAGCCTGAAAGCTTGAGTGGGTCCAATCTAAGACATTTCATAGGTGTCACTCACTGACCATGATCCGGACTGCCCGCACTTGTCGGGAAATGTCACCCTGTTGCCCTTCTGGTCCAGCGCCGATCCAAGATGTTCATCGAGCGTCTTCTCAGCCTGCCCGACATCAGCGTCGTGCAGGCCACCAGGGACCGACCAGAGAGATGCCCGCAACCAGCCTCCTCTTCGGAACCAACGGCTAGTTACAAGCACATCTGTCTGGTTTGACCAAGTCCAGACAGTTACCTGATTTTCCGGACCCGTACATCTAGGCGGGAAATCAAGAACTAATGGCCACGCGCCAGGGGCATTATATAAACCCTCACACATGTGAGGGCCATGTATCACATATTCACTAATCACTACCTGATATTTTGCTAGTACCTCCTTGATCTTACTCTTACTTGATCATTGGAGTACCTTGCAGGTACAACACCCTCTCTCCTCAGCCCGACTGAAGATCATCCTCTGGCCATTCTCCAAGTTCTGATCAACCGTAAGATTAGTGGTGCTGACTGTGGGAAACTGCTATCTCCATCTTTCTTCTCCTGGAACCTAAGATCAAAGCAAACTTTCTTTCAAAATCCATCTCTCTTATCATGGCCGACCATAATGATCTTTACATGCCCGAAAAGACCAGCCTTTCCCCTGCTCGCAAGACTGATGGAAGCCATGAACACCCTCGCCTTGAGGAGAACCAGGGCTTCCGTGACGGACAAACCGCGTCCCCTGATTCTGCTGATGCTCGACGTGGTGACGACCAACTCTTGGACGAAGGACATTCCAAGAATCCTGCTGAAGAACTGCCAGAAATCTTGCAACCAGTTTCTATCCCTCTCAACACCGACCCGGCCATGGCAGCACTGCTCGCTGCCTTAAATCAAACCAACACCCTCATCCTTCAACAAAATCAGAGGATATGGGCCTTAGAGAACAGACGTTCAAGATCTCGTCCTCTGAGGGCCCGAAGACGAAACTCCCCCAGTGGATCACCACCCAGGCGTGGTCCACTGCCCAAAAAGAAAATACGCAACGTTTCTTTCTTCAAGAAACGCAATTGCACACCTCCTGCCCGAGATCAAGACTCCATTTCGTTCAAGAAGAGAAGGGACAACATGCAGATCGACCGCGCTCGATCGCCCTCTCCTGAGCCAAAGCAGAAATAAAGGAGCCCCTCCCCTCGATGGGACCGTGACGACTGACGGGGGAGAAACTATCACTCTCCTTCTCCATCTCCCGTCAATAGTGAAGACGACGAGCCCCATGACCCGCTATCGAGGGAGATCACCGAAGCTCCGCTCCCTATCGGCCTAGAGAAGTCGCCCACTCTATGGAACTACGACGACATGACAGATCCTAACGAGAACATTGATGCCCTCCTCGACTACAGAGGGGTCAGGGGCGTCATCAAATGCAGACTCTTCCCAACCACTCTCAGGAAAGGGGCGATGGCATGGTACAAAAGCTTGCCCGACGAATCCATAACCTTGTGGAAACAACTCGGGAGAATGTTTTCAAGGCATTTCACTGCCTCCCGTCGACACCTTAAATCAGAAGCTTCACTCGAAGCGATCATACAGAGCAAGGACGAGTCTCTGCATGCATATATCGAATGCTTTAACAAAGAAGCGGTCCAGGTCCCGACAACGGACAACATGAAGAAATACATGCTCGAGCACGGGCTCCATCCCCACAACGAATTTGCCAAAGCTGTGGGCATAGAAACTAATCTTGCGGTTGATCAGAACCTGGAGAGTGGCTGGAGGATGATCTTCAGTTGGACTAAGGAGAGAGGGGGTTGTACCTGCAAGGTACTCCAGCGATCAAGTAAGAGTGGGAGCAAGGAGGTACTAACAAAATATCAGGTAGTGAGTAGTGAAAATGTGATACCTGGCCCTCATAGGTGTGAGGATTTATATAATTCCCCTAACGCGTGGCCATTGGTTCCTGATTTCCCGCCTAGATATGAGGGTCCAGAAAATCAGGTAACTGCCAGGACTTGGTCAAATCAGGAAAATATGCTCGTAACTAGCCGTTGGTTCTGAGGAGGAGGCTGGTTATGGGCATCTCTATGGTCGGTCCCTGGTGGTCTGCATGACGCTAGTGTCGGGCAGGCTGAGAAGACACTGGACGGGCATCTTGGATCGGTGCTGGACTAGAAGGGCAAGAGGGTGATATTACCCGACAGGTGTGGGCAGTCCGGGTCACGGTCAGTGGGTGGAACCTATGAGATGTCTTAGACTGGGCCCACTCAAGCTTTTGGGCCATTCCAGAACAGAAACACCAGCCACGCTCAATTCCCTTCTCCTAAAGGCCCAGGTGTACATACAGTACGAAGAGAAGGAGGCGGCCAACAGCGCCCGGGAATCCAGGCACAGAGAGAGTGACAAACCCTCAAAGAATGATGAACCATCGACATCCCGTCAAGGGAGAAGAAACGGGAAGACAAGTCCCGTGATCCTAAATACTACAAGGGGCCGGCGGTCGTTTCCACGACTACACCCCCTGACAACCTCTAGGGAGTGTATTATTTCTGAATGCGCTAATTCTGAAATTAATCAAGCCGGGGTGCGCTTCCCCCGACAAACTCCGTCGAATCCAGGAACCGACAAGAGAAAGTACTCCAGTTTCCACAAGAGTCACGGCCACAACACGGAGGATTGCGTTCACCTCAAGGATGCAATAGAAATACTAATAAGAGATGTCCACCTCAAGTAGTATAAGAAAAAAGAGGTCGCCCGTGACGAAGCACTAGAGACCAAGAATGTCTAAGAAAGGAAGAAATCCCCCGACCTCGACACCATTCTGATCGCCTTGAGCATCTCACGAACAGAAGACTTCTACTTTCCGAACATGGAGAACGTCTCCTTATACTTCTCCACCCACAGTCCGTGAGAATCCTTCCCCGCAGCCATGGTGATTTCTGGCGGAGGGTTCAATAGGCATACAGTCGGATCAGTGAAGAGAAGGTTCGACCAACTCATCGAGGCCAACTCTGAGATGGACACCACGCTCGACAAGTTTCGAGGATGATCTCACCCCCTCGCATTCTACAGGGAAGAGTTATCGAGAGGATCCCCGAATTCGAGCATCCCACTACTCGTGAGAGCTCGGATGGCTAACTTTAATGTGTGTTGCATTTTGGTCGACCAGGGAAATTCAGTGGACATCATGTAAGCCCAACTATTCAACACTTTGC